CAGGCGTTTCGGGCACGGGCTTTCCTCCAAAGCAGAAGCCGCCTGCCCGTGCGCGCGCCGCCGCCGCCTTACTTTTCACCAATCAGGTGGCGCCGCCGCGGACGCCGGTCCTCGCGGGTTCGAATCTCGCCGGCCCGCCCCGAAACTGGAATGTTTCGCTCTCCCTCCTTTGTTTCCATCCAGATTTTCGTCGTCCCAGCCAACTATCACGCCACAGAGGTCGTTCCATTAAATCTGCAAAGAGATGCATTTAACACACATGGTGGCTGGGGAATTCTGGGAGCTGAAGTCTACCCATCTTCGAGTTGCCAAGTTTGGAAAACACTGATTTAACACTAGCAGGATATGGATACATTTTGCGTTTAGTTTCCGGAAGCTTATGCCCTCCTTCTTCAAGCTGTTGCCCTCCCAATACCGCGGGCTGCAAGAGTGTGCGAAGGAAGAAGAGTTCAGCATCTGCTGCCGCAGTTCTCTTCTGTTGGTACTTAGGAAAAAGCCAGGATCCCGGTGTTAGAAGGTTGGGAAATTTAGACATTTTTAGATATTTAGACATTTAGATGTTTAAACATTTACCTTTACCTGCTTGTATAACGTGAAGTAAAAGCAGGCCCAGCAATATGCCAATATTCCCTTTCCTGTTGGTATGGTTAACCTCACAGTGATTGGTTTCACTTTAGATTATCAAAAGGTTGCATTCTTGAGGATGTGACCCTCAACACTTTTCAATATCCCAAGGATACGTTAATTGCTCTCATGGTTTGTCTCTTCCTGACTGGAAAGATGGCAATTCCTGTAAGCAGATAAACTGTCTTGACCTGATGGTCTTTTCCTTTCCAGATGAGCCCTCACAAAGAAAGATAAGCGGTCCTGACCTCCTTTCTTAGGGATGTAAATCAGGACAGCGCCTGGTGGACAATCAGAGTGATGGAGGATAGTTTCCATATGGCTGTTGACACTCAAGGTGATAGAAATTAGTTTACATACAGAAAGGAAGAACCTTATTTGGCATCAGAGAAAGGGGTCCTGGGTAAGGGGAGGAGTATGGATCAAGGTAACTGGCTTTGATTGGATCAGAAAGTCATGACATCTTAAACGTGGGTTTGAATGTAACAGAAGGTATATAAGGTACTGTGGGGAGGGGCCCCAGCGCAGCTGCCCACCTAACTGCATGCTGTCCTTGCTTCTGCTCTTGGGTGAAGAATAAACCTCCTAACTTCATGCAATTCGTCAGTGTCTTTACTCCCGGCTCAGAAATGGACCTGGTAAGATAAACCTTTCTTCCAACACCGGGTTCCGCTCCCTCGCATTTCCCAGTACGGGTTTCAAAATGTGTGCATGTTTGGGCCTGCTGGATTAGAGCAGGAGGCTGCTCCCCAGCTGCTTTCCCCTGCTGGCACCTTCCAGGATGTAGGACTACAAGCCCCATCATCCCTAAAGGACCCCTCACTGTGTGAGAGATGGCAGTTGCAGGCTAACGCAGCACGGGGGAAGTGGGGTCGAAACTGACGGCTCGTCGTCGGGGCAGGAGCGTGGAAAGGCGCAGCCTGCATCCAGGTAGTGATGAGAGCAGAGGCAGAAGGGCGGCCCGCCGAGATGCGAGGCAGCTGCTGGGCCCGAGTGAGGCCAAGTGACACTGGGCTACAGCGGTGTTCGTCAAGCTTGGCAACTCGAGGAGGGGTGGGCTTCTGCTCCCAGAATTCCCCAGCCAACATGGGGCATGCCGACTGTGGAATTCTGGGAGTTGAAGTCCACCCCTCTTCAAGTTTGATTTGGACGTCTTGCGGGAATGTGAAATTATGCTGAATGGATTTGATGATTAGAAATAATATGGGTTAACAGAAATAATGGAAGTTATGTTTTAAATTTAGAGTAGGAGTCTGATGTATATTGTTACTTGTATCTGTTGCAAGGAGGGTCGGAAGTCAATTCTTCTTTTCGTTGTTTTTTTCTTTTCTGCACTTTTGATCTTTACTACTTTCCCTTTTTTTACATTTTCTTTTCTTTTTATTCTTTCTCCTACTATTAGCTTTTGTTAATTTTTACTGTCCTTTTTTTAAAAAACATAGTAAAGCTATTATAAAAAAAAAAAAGGTTGCCGAGTTTGGAAAAAGCAGAGCTACAATAACTTTTGCAGTATGCTGCTTCCACGGGGGTTCCCCATTCAGGGTTAAAAAAAAAAAAGCAGCAGCCCAGACGAGGCTCGCCCCTCTCTCCTTTTCCTATCTCTACGG